GAGAGAGAGAGAGAGAAAGAGAGAGAGAGAGAGAGAGAGAGAGAGAGAGAGAGAGAGAGAGAGAGAGAGAGCAGGGCTGCAAAGAGGGTAGAGCAAAAGCCCCGTGTCACTCACTCCTTCGACATAATTTCCACTTGCCCGTACCGCAGTCCGTTCTCATCCTTCGGCTCGTTCCAAGGAATCACTTCCTCGCTCTTGGGGACCTTCTCGGTTCGGTGCAGTCGTGTCAACCCATCAGCATTTCCGTGCCTCTCGTGTTTCTGATGACGAATGTCAAAGTCCATGCTCTGTAGCACCGTTGCCCATCTCCCGATCATGCCCGAGTAATCCTTAGATTTCTTCAAGGCTAATAATGGCTCATGATCGGTGACCAGCGTGAACTTCCGCCCATAAAGATAGGCTCGAAAGTGACTGATCCCCCACAGAGCCGCATAGCATTCTCCTGTTGGGGCAGCGTAATTGTGCTTGCAGGCAGACACCGACTTAGACGCGTATTCCACCACGCATTCGAGTCCGCCTGGTCCCACCTGGGCCAAGATCGCTGAGATTGCCTCCGGCTGCCAGTCCGTGATGAGGACAAAAGGTTTTTCAGGATCCGGCCTTATAAGGACCGGAACCGAAATAAGGGCTGCCTTGAGTTTCGAAAACGCTTGATCACACTCTGGCGTCCAAATCGGCGGTTGATCCCTTTTCAGCAGATTCGTGAGGGGACCCTCAATAGCCACGAAGCCCTTGATAAGCCTTCGGTAGTACGAGGCCAGGCCCAGAAAGGCGCGAACTTGCGTGATAGTCGTGGGCACAGGCGCGTCTCTCACAGCTGCCACCTTTTGCGGTTCCGGTCTGAGTCCCTGGTCTGTCACCACGTGTCCCAGAAAGGAAATGGTGGTGAGAAAGAACTGACATTTCTCCAGCGCCACTTTGAAACCGGCATCCCTTAATGCATGCAGCGTCCATTCGATGTGCTGCACATGCCCCTCGTAAGAACTCGAATACACCAGAATATCATCCATGTACACAATCACGCAATAGTTGATGATACTGTGCGCCAGACGTGTCTTCCGCACAAAGTTATGAAAAACCATGTTCATGGCTCGCTGAAAGGTTGCGGGAGCATTGTAGATGCCCATTGGACATCGAATCCATTGCCAAGTACCTTCGAACAACACAAACGTCGTTTTCGGACGATCCTTCTCTCGAACAAAAAGATGATGAAACCCATGTTGAACATCAAACTTACTGAAAAATCGAGCACTCCCAATTGCATCCAACAGCTCATCAATTCGGGGAAGGGGGTACACATCTTTGATCATGATATCGTTCAGCTTTCGATAATCGATACATATGCAAATCCATCCTGCCTTTTTGGGCACGATTACCTCCGGAAACGACCAAGGTCCTATAGCGGGTTCGATCCATCCATTAGCTTCGAATTCCTTAATTCACTAAAACGCGGCCGCCTGTTGGGCTGGCGAGTATCGATAAGGGACACAGCTAATAGGTGGATGATCCCCCGTAAGGATGGCATGCTCAATCACGTTAGACAACCCAATATCTTTATCGCGCATACTTAATTTCTCTACATATCCATTCAAGACGTTAATCAGTGATTTTCGAAATTCTAGGGGGACGTGATCCGACAGAGTGACAGTCGGTTGATCGGGTATCTCAAGGGGCATGTCGATCCAATCAGCAGGCCGATTCCGTCAGTCATGGACGCTAGAGAAAATAGAGCTGCTAGTGTGGACAGAAAACACAGTCGCGATCATCTCGGATTCAGCGGGACTAATCATCTCGGTCTCTTTAACTTCGGCGTCAGTTTCCGAAGCAGCCGTGGTTTCTTTCACAGTTAGTCTTGTTAAATCCACCATTTCCTGCATCAGATCGGGCACATCGTCGACGGGAGCTTCGGCTTCTTGTTTTATCAGAGCGATGGTCGCTCCTGTTGTAAGCAGCGACCTTCGAGGGGAAACAGAAACATCCAGGTATTGTTTCACCTGTTGATAGCGTGCTCGGAGGGAAAGTGTTCCCTTGTACAAAGTGCGAGGGGGTTCCAAATCGTCTGCCAGGTCAGATATTTGCAAGATGGGTTATCCGAGAAGGGTCGAGGGACTGACCTGGGTTTCCATAGGCGCGAGCGCGTTGTCTCCCAGACTCAAGTGGAAAGTTCGTGTGGTTCTGGGAACCATCCAAAAATCCTCTGGAGCTTCGTGCTCGAAAAGTTCGACCAAGTGTTTCCATTCACTCTCACTAGGCATCTCTTCTTCGCACTCCTGTTCTTCGAATCCGCTACAATTATCCGGGGATGAAAATTCCTCCTGATCAGGACCTTGAATCATCCCTATCCGAGCAGAATTAAGATTCTTTTTTACTGTTCGGGTTGAAATCCGCAACGGAACTTCTTGAGGCTTTCCTCTTGTTTGCGTAAGCACCAACTGCTTGGAATCGAAATGCATGCGGATACCTACCGTCATTGCCCAAGGCAGTCCCAACAACACCGAATATGAGTGCACATCTATGACCAAGGCGTTAACAGGGACGTGTACTCGTCCAACTTTCACGACCACATTCTCAATGACTCCTACGGCATTCATTGCTTCTTCGTCGGCAGAGACTAATTGTCCTTGCCAGATTGAGGGAGAATCGAGTCGAGTCGTCCCGTTCTTTTCACCGTTTCTAATGATATAGCGACCGCAGAGGAGCCGGTATCGATGAAGGCATTAAAAGGTTTGCCCCATACTTCGCAATCACATTCAGCGCTTTCCCACAACACTGGTCGAGCTCGCACGAAATGATCTTTCTTAGCTAAAGAAATTATAGCTACTCGCGCTGCTTCGGGTTCACCAACTTCGGGTTCAGGCGGTGCAACACCCTCCGCTCCTTCTTCCTTCTTCCTTTTCAACATTCGTTGTATGCGTTGGTATGTAAAGCGTTTTTGATTCTTCTGACATTGTTGCAGCAGCTTGTCATTTGCTGCTTCGGATATGGTGAGCAAATGTCCCACTGGGACCGGAACGCGAATGTCCAGTTGCTTAAGCATTCGTAGTACATCAATTTCTCCCATCCGAAACTGTGGTCCGGGGTTAGATTCGCGTTCGACCAATTCAAGATCGTCATGGGCTGGTCGGATTGCTCCGATCATGCCGGCGAGATGAAGGTATTCGACCGGATCAACCACGTCAGCAGCTTCGGAAGAAGAAGTTCCTGAGGTAGATGCAACTGCCATTAACGGGGAAGGTCGCTCAGGGGCGTACACAACGATCTCCTCGTTTCGGGCCGTATCCATTAATGCGGCCACTCGTCCTTGATTCAGAGCTACGGGGGCTGCGGCAGGTGGGGGCTGATTTCGTTTTGGCTGCAGACAGTCCCGGGGAAAATGCCCGGGCTGTTTGCAATTGTAACGCTCGATTTTCCGTGCCAGGTTAGCTGCATGAGGGAACTGCGATGCATGTCCAGGTGCAGGCTGAGCAGGCAAAAGCGGGAACGATGCAGGGGCAGGTCGAGCAGGAGTCGGCTTGGGCTTAATTAACCTGCTCATTATCTGTTCCATTCGATCCATGTGAGCCGCCTGCATTTGGACCAGATTGCTCATCCATTCAGATTGTTTGGTAGTAGCTGTATGGATCACCTGTGCCAAGTGCATATTTGTTATGGTCATAGAGGCAGGATCTTGGGAGCTTCTGGGTTTAACAGTTGCTACCTATTGGTTCATTGGGAGAGTCGGAGGAGGGGGAAAAGAAACTGACGGGACATTGGGAGAGTCGGAGGAGGGGGAAAAGAAACTGACGGGATATCAGAGGCGGCCATGATCAGGCCGGGGATAGAACCGTTCTACCGCTCGCAACCACGATCGTCGTTTCGCCGCTACATCCTGAATCGTGTCTGTAATGTCTTCATTTCCCTGACTGATATACTTATTTGTATCCGTCAGGTCTAACTCAAGCGCTTTGGTGATGATAGCGGATAGCTGGTTCGTTTTAGGGGGGACCTTTTTCTGCAGCTTAGCTTTTAGCGTCGAACTTCGTAGATGATTAACAAATCTCGGACGAACTTTTCATCTCGCCCTGATTTGTCCGACGTAGTTTGGAATCGATCCACGAAGTCAAGCAGCAACTCCCCTGGTTCTTGCGGTCGAGTCTTGAGCACATACCAAGCGGTGTCTTCGCTGACCGTATCAAATCTGGCCAAGAACGCTTGCTTGAAGATGTTCCAATCTACCCGTCTGTGTTTCCTAAACCAATCATGCGCCGTGTTGCGAAGCAGCAAGGTGATGACGTGGGGGAGATCTTCCGTGCTATATCCTTGAGCTTGGACGGCTTCCAACCAAGCTTCGGGGTGGGTGTGATTAGGAAAGAAAGGAAAAGCGGCGGGAATACTACCAATCACACTGGGGGGAGCTGCGTTGCCGTCGGCCATTGGCATAGCCGGTCTAGCCTCACCAGATGTTGATCTGGTGAATGGGCGATCTCGATGAGCAGGTTGAGGACTTCTTCTACCTCTCGCCAGCTCGACTTACTATCATCATAACCGACACGTGCCGGCTCCGATACCAACCTCACGCCCTGTGCTGTCTTCCGTTCGGAGTGCTAAGGGTGCGGAAAGAGGGCCCAGAAAAACAACAAGATGGGGTGTGCCAAGGATTTTTGGAAAATTGAGTGTGGGGACACAAACATAATTGAAATCCCCCGTGTTGGTCCGATGAAGTAAGTCGGTTGCTTTCGCGCGTCGCGGAATGCGCGCGCGGGCACGACGCGAAAAGGAAAAAATCCAAATTCAATCTAAAAAGTATTGTCGAACTTCCCACCACGCTGTGGATCTTCGTTTAGAGCGGAAGGGCTTCGGTACACTCCGCGTTTCCCGTTTCCGTATCAAGTCCCGACGTCGCTCGTTGGTCAGTTCCGAGTCCGATGTGGAGGGTCTCAGCCGCGTGGCTCTTTCCTTGTGTTCGTCTTCACTCCGTATTCGGTAGTGAAAGCCCTTTGATTCGTAGCGATCGAAACGCTGGCACTCCGTGCACAGGGTTCGAGGCCAATGGGGCGCCACTGCCATCCACGGAATGACGATCAGCTCGTTAAATGGCAATAGTACTGAGTAAGGCGGGTAGTGCGTATCGACAATGACAAAGTCCGCGTCCACGAATCTTAAACAACGATTTTCGGGAGGAAAGTAATATCGTCCGCCGATCCGTGCGACAGCTTCTCATACGTCCCACTCGCAAACACGTGTCCTTTCCTCGTTGTAAGGGAAGGGGCGCGTTGGCGAGGGAGATACGGGAGGCTGGCGCCCGATCGAGGTACGCTCGTCAGTCCACATGTCAATCAATCGGAAAGAGTTTGCAGAAACACTGGGACGTCATCAAAAAGTACAATCGTAAAAACCAACTAACATTTTTCTTCCTTTCGACACGAGGGAAGCATCGTACAACCATGCAATAATGGGGTGGAGTTTCGAGGGATCACCCCACGACTCAGGTTCAGCAGACCAGATCGACAAAAATTCGAGGCGCCTGACTTTTTCGAGGCTGCCCCATACAAAAACAAATCAGGGGATAGTACACATGCATCCACCGTTCACAAGACAAGAGGATTGAGATCCCTTTCATCCGGGGATTACCCAGGAAACTAATGGAAGAGTTYCGGAAGAAGTTCTTTTGCGCGGGAAATCACGAGGATTCACTTCTGTTCATAAGAGAGACAGACTCATAACACATCGCCATTCAAATCAGAGAGAGAGAGAGAGAGATTGGAGAGATAGACGAGAAATGTCGAGACAGGAGACATCGGAATCCGACAAGGGAACATTCGGCTTCACAGCCATGAACTCACACAAAAAAAAATGATCCGCAACCATGAAGGCGCATTCGCCGTGAAATTCCAGTATGGCCCCGGGCTAATCATCCACTCAACTCCAATTACCGATCCTCATACCTGCACTGACGATCCTGGCCGTCGCGTGCTAACTTCCGCCGTTGCGATCGTCACCCCGCTGACGCAAGCTCGACATGGCTCGCCCGGATCCCACAGTCCGTCGTGGCGATCAAGCGCGCAGCCGGCCAGCCTACAGTCAGCCCGACAGGACTTTTCGACTCGCATCA